ATTTGTCAAAATCCATCGTCTACTTCTCCCTATAGAGAGAGAGAGAGAGAGAGAGAGAGAGAGAGAGAGCATTACCGTCAAACAAATGGATATACACTTTGAAATACTCCAACTGTTTGCCGGTGACCTGACGGCCGCCGATCTCCTTCACGACCACATTCATCGGGTGTAATATTAATGGCACAAACGTCTTCAGATAGTCGACAAACTCGCCGTCAATATCGGCCACTCGGCCGTCAAAGCGGGGATTAGTGGCCACTTTGCCGCCCGGATGTGGCATCAAATAGCAGCCAATTTGAGAAAAACATGATCGAATGTGGCGTCGAATCCGTTGCAAATCAAGCACTTGGCTATTATTAACAATCAACTTATTTTCCAAAAACCATTGACCTTTGACCAGACCGTACGGGTACTCATGTGGGATATTCCAGTCACGTATGAGAAACATTAGCTTTTGTAACGGCTTCTCGTGGGTTTGTCTGAGGGCCAGTCGTCCGTATTCTACTAATCATTCGAGTTTGATTAAGTTGTCCTCTTGGAGATTGTACATTACATTAAACACTATATATAATAATGTTTACCATAACAAATTAATAAAACCACCGGTTATAGAGTAACGAGATAGATTTGTTTACACAATATATACCCTGTATGGATGAGATCATAGTTGACAGCGCGAACACAGTGGCCGAGTCCCGGACGGTGTACTCCGAGTCAAACGCTCCCTGAGTGTTCATCAAAACAATCGCCATTTCCGGATCGTCGGCCAGTTTGATAACAAACGGCTCCGACCACATCAGTATACCTGTGGTGTCCCTCTCACTGCCGCCCCTCCACGAGAACCCCTTCAGTGGGGTGTCTGTCGAGCCGAGCCAGTCGTCGGTTGTGCCGCAACCGGACTGCAGGTATCGCAGGAAAATGTTCAGCATAAAGGACTTGCCTATAAGTGCCCGAAAGGGTCGGTTCAGTTGGATACAAATAATAATTATATGTATGCTATTATTATAATAATAAAATATTTCCTAATTAAAACATTGAAGCGCTTTTTATCTAGATACTTTAGAATTATATGTTTATAGGATAATCTTTTATGTTATTATGTTATCCGCACCGCCCTTAGAGTACAATATGGTAACAATTTCAAACTGACCGCTATGAAAGTCGCCGGCAATACTGACCACAACAACGGGTTTGTCACGGATCGAGTCGCGTAATAAAATGGCCGACAGGGCCTCCAAATTTAGTTCAAACCGGCCCTCAGCACTCACTTTGAGCACCTGTATGGGGGCACCGGGGTACCGCTGATCAATTTTTATACTATCATCATTAAGTGCTTTAATCTTGCAATCCTTGAAATGAACACTGTGATTTTTAGTTTTATTCAAATGCTCACGTGATTTTTTGTTTAATTTACCATCACTTGAAATATCGATTTTATTTAATTTACAATTAAAAAACTTATAAAAGAATGTGTTTTCATTGATTTCAAGTCTTTTACTTATTTTATCGAATTGTTTATTGTTTTTAGTAATCATTTGTTTATCGACTGACCAGTAGTTGTAATCGTCGAGTACTCGACCACTAGTCGGCCGATTGTATGGCATTGACTGAAACATTTGGCCAATTATTTTAAACAATTTGTTGAAATTATCTAAAAATATGGTTGAATTATACATTTCCATTGGATTCTCACTAAACAAAGTATTGAATAAATACATGTTTAAAATTAAATTAAAATATTATATAATTAATAAATAGTAGCAAACCTATTGAATAACACAAACAAATTCATTGCGATCACTCCCAGGCTATAGATGTCTACCTTAATGTTATACCGGCGCTGATGTATTTCGCGTGCCATATATGCATGGGTTCCCACATTAGAGGTGTGGCCAATGGATGTGTTTATGTGATCGGTAGCCAAACCAAAATCACAGAGTTTTATGAATCGATTATTAATATTATTCACTGATATCAACACATTTGCCGGTTTGAGATCCCGATGGATAACCGGTGGACACAATTCGTGTAAATATTGTACACTTTCTAAAAGCTCTTTAAATATTTCACAACATATGAAATACTCGATGCAATCCATCGGGTCTTCCGCTTCTCTCCCGAAGACAATGTGTTTTGTGTCGAGAATTGTCTGAAGAGTTTGTAAATAATAATCCATTTGAATGTAAAGACGATTGTCTTCCAGCCATGAGTTGCGGTAATTCACCACATATTCTGACCGCAATTTCACTAAATTTTGAACCTCTTTTAGTATTGTTTGTCGTTCATTATCGTCATTAGTGTCTGCAATACACGTGATATTAATTATGATTAAATTATTTATGTTGGTATACATATTTTTATTATATTACCATATAACTTAATTACTTTAACCGCATATATCTCTTGTTCAATGTTATGCTTTACTTTATATACATCACCGAAACCTCCGCTCCCGATGTGTAACAACTGTTCAAAATTATCAGCAAAAAAGCTTTTGCTTAACTCGTTGTCAGAAACTACGAAAGTAGATTACATTCATATTATAAATACAATTATAAATATGGTAGAATAAATGTGTAGTACGTTTTGAGTTTTTACTTGTTTTAAACTGGTTTGACGCCATTTGTATAATATCTTATTGAATTTACGTTTAATTTTACAATAATTTTTAAAGTTGGATATCAATTGTAAACATTTTTAAAACGTATAATAAATGATATAATTTCACTTTTTAAATATATTTTACAACAGTTGACTATTTTTAATTTTATACTTTCCTCGCCAAAATGAAATATTTGTTCTTTACATTGAAAAACAATTCTAGACAATTCTATAAAATACTATAAAATTTTATAAAATTCTATAATAAGTTATTAATACACGTTAAATTAATAAATATAATAATTATTAAATAAAAACTTATATTTATTATTATTTTCAATATTAGTAATATCCAATTATAACATAATATATTGCATATAATGTTAACCTTTTGATGTCAAACACAATAATAATTGAAAAGCATTGGAAACACTGATTAAATGACAACGAATTTCGTAAAAATATTATAACAGTTAATCTATAACCATAGTTATTATTGTTTTATAAATTATACTTTTATACTGTAATGTTACATACTAATTTATAGCTTATTTGTTTTGTTATCCATTATTTTTTAAAATAGCAAAACCAACTGTTTAATGTATAAAGTATAAATCAAGTACAATGTATAATGTATAACACGATTATAATTATTTTATGATTTCCTTATTATAAAGTAAAGTATCCTTTTATTGGAATTATTATCAGCACTGCTGGTATTCTTAATAATCCAACTACATTTAGTGTTTTGATATACAATACATATTACATATTTCAAACTTTTCATTTTATACATATCATATAACATATGGTCTATATTCTACTGTTTGTGTGAAGCTGTGTTGTGTTAAGCGTGTCGTCTGTATGGTATGTGATGTCATGTGATTGTCGTCCGGATAGTTGGCATCCTTTGTTCTCATCTGCAATTAGACCAGGAGCTCGTATTACTGGGAGTCGAACCCCCATCCTGTAGGCCCGGGAGTACAATGATAGCTACAGTCCAAAGGTTACCCCATGGAAAACCAACTCTGCGCCACCGCCGCGCCATATTATTATATTTAATAATTACAGATAATTAAATGTTGTTCACAATAAATATTTTTAATATTGCAAGTTAATAAATTTAATTATTTTTATATAAACCCTATTAACTAAATTGGGTGTATTACATGATATTGGTAAATCACAATTATCCGTATAACATATTATTACCATTATATTACATTACATTAACTTATGACAAAAACACACAATTAAAACTTGATAAATACTTTGGATATTTAGGGTTTGCACATATTAGGTTATAACATTATGGATGACAACAAATGAGTTTTATGTCAAACATATATTATCAGGTATTAGTTATTTAAATAATAACAAATTGTAACTTTGGAGTATAGTAAAATAACTAGTATAAATGATAAGGAGCAAGGTTAACTTAAGGGAATACCCACAGTTAAGGTTTAATTTTAGTACGTTAATAATTAATTATTTCATTAATACCATGTTAAATTTTTAATTAACAATAAACATACTAATTAATTAAATGGTTAATAATAATATTAATAATTCTATATAAATATATTAACATTATCATGAAATGTTACCACTGATTACAAAATCATTTTTATAAACTGTAATTTTATATTGTAAAAAATTTTGTTTAATATACGAGATGTTTTTTCAAACCAGTAATATGTCGCTGATTTGTTACTACAGTATAATTAACTTACATTCTATTATTTGAATTAAATTACAAACTCATTAATAAATTAATTGATATTATATTTAACCACATTATTAATATTACGACAACTAAATGGTATTATAATCTATTATAAAGTTATTATTTAAATTGTATTGCATTCGTAAAAACCTTAAAAAAAATACAAAATATTTAAAAATTAATCCAAAAAAATTATAAAACATTAATAACATATAAATAAGATAATTGTTTAAATAATAATGATAAATATCAGCGACATATTTTTAATTTAACTAAAACAGGTTATAAAAGATTTAAATATTTTATTTATATATAGTTTTAATAAATAGTTATAATTTCAATCTTTTACTGTTCATATTATAATTAAAAACTATTTAATTTGATAAAATAACTATTGTTTTAACCTATGTTTTGTTTATTTGAATCAAGTAATAATTAAATATTTTTAATTGATAATTTTAAATTGTAGATTTAACATTTTTAATCTTAAGATTAATTGTACCATGTTAACTTAACGTTGCATAATACACGGAGTAAAATATTTGAAAAAATTAATCTCAATTAATTATTATTTCTAATTAATCTCTAAAACAAAGTAATTTAGACTCTGCTTTTCAACACGTTGTGGATATCATGACTGGCTTTCAATTTGCCTTATAATTTAGCAAAGACTATGACAGAAAAAGTCAAATACTTGGCCGAAACAAACATGGTCATTTTTGGGTACCCGTCAGTGGTTTAACGGTTATCACATTAATTATGTAGACTTCTTGGCGTACGAACTGCTCAATTGGTTCCGACATATAAGCCCCGGAATCGGTAATAAATATTAAGATTAGGTTTAATTGTAAGATGTATATAAATATTTAATTATTTTAATCCAAGTTTAATTGTAACATTTATTTCCATTTTCAATAAAAACCTTAAAAGTGTTTAATAATTAAATAATTTGATTTTGATGCGTGAAATGAATATTTGTATTATAACTGATTTAACACATTTTCATATGTCGTTTTACTTATCGTGTTATTTATCAATAAATCATTTAATTATAATTTTAGTTTTGATAAAATATATTCTTTGAAGACTTTATCGTTTCCGTTCGTTATGTTATTCACAACTCTCGCAAAGTTGGGATCAGTTGTCACACAATTGCTATCAATAGACCACTCATTATATGATTGCAATACTTGTCGACAATCGGGTCTATCATTCGGTTTCAATGAT